GGGAAAGAGACTGAAAACTGGAGATAAAGACTAGTGGATCTGATTAGAGTAGATTCAAGGAGGTAGATGGGTGGTCAGTATTTTCTTTTTGTGTCCCCACGTCTTTGCCCAGCAGAGGCTGACCACCACAAAGGTGGCACAGAACAACCAGGTTTTGGGGTTGTGCTGCCCAAGTGTCTCTCCTTAGGGACTGTACCCCCTGCTCAATGAGAATGAAGATTACAGCCATGGTAGCAGGGACAGAAGTTTTGGGAGGAGCTTGGCACCTTGGCTCCCTCTCCTCTAGTCTGACTGTGTCGAAAGTGCATTTTTCAGCACTCCCCTGACCAGGTGGCCTGAAGACGATAGCCTCTGGGTTGAATAGGAACTGAAGCACAGGACTCAAGAGGACTCTGTTAGTTTGCTTCCAAGTTTTTAAAGGCAGTGATCCTCCTCGGCTAGCAATGAATTTTGCTCAATGTATAGGTTTTCATTCTCTGTCTTCAGGACTAGCCAGGAGCATACAATTCTCCAGCGGAGCCTGAAGAGCATCCTTTTGGAGCAAAAAAATCCCCACTCTAGGTTGAGTAGGATGTAATAAATAGCACATGGCCATGGGATTCACTTATCCTGACACACATCACAGGACAGAGTATCTGCCGATCTGAGAGAATATTGGAATCATCTCTGGGATATGCATGGAAGGCACTAGTGTACAGGGGCCTACCTGAGCTATATGCCTGGACCTGAGGCCATGACTGTTTGTGATACAGTGAATACCAACATAGATTCAGACACTGATGGTGGGCAGCAAGAGTGACATTAACTCTCTTGGCCATATTCATTATTTGACTCTCCATTCCATTTATTTGGGCTTGACCATGGAGGAAGGTTGGTGCTCATGAAAGAAATATTTCCACTGGGAAACATGTGTAAAGTCCCCTCAATACCTGAATTTTATGCCATGAGCATGACAGCACAGGAGAAAGCAGGGGAAGGTGTCACTATTTAGTGAGAGACACTTATCTTGAAGAATCAGAGGGTCAGAAGAAACATAACTAGAATTGAGGAGATTCACTGGAGGATCTCGTAATGTGTCCATGCCCAGAAATATCCATGGAGGCACGACGGCAGCACCAGCCATTGACAGGGCAAGAGGAGCCAAGGGTCTGGTGACTACCTGACTTTACATGTGAAAGACAGACCCCAACGGAGGCACACAGGTTCCAGTTTTGGAATGGGGCATTTCTACTTATAGCTACATGACCTTTCTGTCTCAAACCAGAAGCGATGTCACCTCCTGAGATGTCCCCAAGATATTCTTATCTGGCTCCTGTTTGTGTATTTTTGGGAGTGTGGAATGAGTAGTTTAACCTTGCAATCACAGAGTGCTGGTGAAGAAAACAAGACATGATGCAGTTTGGACATTGTGTCAGGCTTTATTGAGAAAGCTAGAGTAATGAATTCCCCCTTGGAGGGATTTGTCTGAAAATGTCATCAAAGGAAGAAGGTAAGATACTGAAAACAAGAGTTCACTGAGCAAGAAAAGTTTATTGTGAAGATGATCAATGAGTCACCGAAAGCTATGGCAAAGGGAAGAGGATGGGTTCTGCTACCACTTGTGGAGCAAGAAGGCGAAGGCTTTGACCAGAGAGTTCAAATCAGAACTTTCACTAGACGCAGTTGGTGGAAGGAAATGACGTTCAGTGTCCAAGGCAAAAGGAGGAAGAGAAGCGAGATGAAGGATGGTGCATCTTGTCAAGTGGATCAGAGGGTTTCAGAGAAACAGACAGGGAGGGGAGCGCTTGTTGAGAGAATGGCCTGTTAACACGGAGAGTGGTTGGTGAATCTGTGTCTCCAAGGGCAAGTCAGTGTCTTGTGACCAGGATGGTTGTCTGGAGAGTTGATCAGCAGCCATCGCAGCAGCCACTGCCACAACCACAGCCACTGCTACTTCCGCCTTGTCCACCACACAAGCCGCAGCAAATGGGCTGGCAGATTGTCCTGCAGCAGGTGGTCTGACAGCATGTAGGCTGGCAGCAAGGCTGGCAGCAGCTGGATCCGCAGCAGCAGGGCTGGCAGCAGACGGTCCTATAGCAGATGGTTCTGCAGCAGGGCTGGCAGCAGCTGGATCCACAGCAGCAGGGCTGGCAGCAGTCACACCCACTGCAGCAGGGCTGGCAGCAGCTGGACTCATCACAGCAGGGCTGGTAGCAGGTGGTTCTGCAGCAGGTGGTTCTGTAGCACGTAGGCTGGCAGCAAGGGGAACAGCAGCAGCTCGTCATGGTGGAGGTGTGGAGGGTGGGTTCCTGTTCACAGGTGAGTGTCCCAGAGTCTGAGAACTTCTTCCCTTCTGTGCATTTTATACACCACACTCTCAACAGTGGGACCAATAAGCCACACTTTTCCTTGTATTTGTTGTTGTTTTGATCGTTTGCGTAGTCACAGGAAAGTCGTCAAGGAGGAAATTGTCCCTTTCACGTATGGAAGTTTTCAAAATTAGTATTCCAATCTTTTTCCCAATTGGGAATATCCTTTAAGAAACTTATTAAGAAATGAGAAAGGCTAGAGTCCTCATGGTCTCAATTTGTGCTCATGTGCCTTTGGCTGGTCATGGCATGGCATCCATAGGATTGCACAGCTCATTTGTGTGTCTGGAGCGATGGTTTCTTTTTCTTTTTCTTTTTCTTCTTTCTTCTTTATTTCTCTTTCTCTATTTCTCTAGTGATTTCTTTTTTCCTTTCTTTGTTTTGATCATTTGTAAAGGGTCATGAGAGGGTCACAGAGGACGGGATTATTCAGTGTGGAGTTGAATCTTTGCTTGGCTTCACACGTGATCACCCAGGAAATTATGACTCAAGGCTGCAGTGAGTGTGTCTTTGACCGTGTGTTCTCCACGTGTATTCCACCCATATCAGAGATGCTCACATTGTTGTTGAAGGGCATACATTTTTGCATATGAAACAAGCAGGAAAAAAGGAAATAGAGGCTGAAGCACAACACTGGCATTTAGAAAGCTTCTCCACATTCCTATTTCCTGCCCATGTTGCTTCTTTTTTTTTTTTTTTACAGAAAAATTTTCTTTAATAGGTCAATTCCGTAGAGAATAGAGAAGCTGCTATAAGTACTCTTGCTAAAGAAACATTCTAAACATCTGCATTGCAATACATTCCGGTTTGAACAAAGTAGCAGACAGAGTCATTCTGAGAAAATAATAGAAATCTGAATATAGACTGAGTGTTAAATGATATTCAAGAAATATTTTTATTTCAATTAAGTGAGAGGATGCTAGTGTGGTTATATAGAGAAATATCATTATCATCTTGTGTTTTATGCATTCTGGAATATTTCGAGTAAAATATTACCAATGACTCTCTTTAAAGCAGTTGAGGAAGGGAACCAGCAGTTAGCGTAATGGCTATGTCGCTGGACTCCCACGTAGTCGACTGCGGTTCGTGTCCCGGACCCGGTGGCTTAAAACTCACGCCGGGCGTGTGTGCGTGCGTGCCCAAGATCCCGAGAGGAGAATGAAGGAAAAAGGATTGCAGTGTGACCATCCCCCCCGGGGGGTGATTTCTTGCTTTCTGTCTCTATGTCTCTCTCTGTCTGTCTGGCGAGCGCACGCGCCCTACAGTGAAAATCTCTCCAAAAAAAAACAAAGTAGTTGAGGAAAAAAAGATAAAGATGTCAAATTGCTATACAAAATGAATTTATAGTTGTTCATTATACTAGCCTCTCTGCTTTACTCTGGGTTTAGAGCTTTACTCTGGGTTTAGAATTTTTTTTCTTTTTTTAAAATTTTTATTATCATCATAATCTTCTTTATATTACATTGGATTACATATAACTTTATAGTGTATTACATTGCTTTTTCAAAAGGGAATGCCATGCATGTCAGTCAATACAGAGACATTAATCTCCCCTCTTCAACATTCAATATCTTTTCTATGTTTTTCCCAATTATTATTATTATTATTCTAATTTTTTTCAATTTATTTATTTGCATTCATTCACTGTACATCATTACAGCATACAAAATGAGATTTTCCATCCAGAGC